AGACCGGCGCGGTGGCCGCCGGTGAAGTCGTAGCTCGGTCTTCATGCCGTGCGCACGGCGGCGGTCACGCGCACGTTTGTACAAAAGGCAGAAGGCTTGCGACTTCTACTTTACTAATATATACTTCCATTGTAAACCAGCTGTCATTCTGAACTAAGAACAGAGTAAATTTTACCTGTTGGAGACTACCGTGACTTCTGAATCATTCCTGATTCAAAGTGCAATGTAATTTAAAAAAAAAAAAGATGAGGGAAAAAGGGAGACAAAAGCACAGATGCCTGTGTCAAAATATTTCTGGAAACAGTGTCTTCTATGAAGACATTATTCCTAGCACCCCTGTTCGACTACCCGTCCTTGTAACATCGCTGACTTTGCCTGCCCGCAGCAGCGGCGTATGGCAAGATGGAAACACAAGGGTTCAAGGCGGCATGCCACACACCCGGAGCTGGGCTGTAATGTTTCGTGGGGCGGGTGGAAAGAATCATCGGCTTCTTCACAAGTAAAAACTATTCACAACAGTTTCCTACACTTAACAAGAAGATGAATGAATAAAGGAAAAGTGGAAGTGTAATAAGATCAACTTGCCTAAACTTTAACCAACTCTTCAACTTCAGGTGTAATTATAGAGAGGATGCAGAAAGTAGTTATAGTTACTATAATGCAAATATAAAAAACACCACAAACTTCTAGCCAAAAAGCCAACCCACAGAATCAGGCAGCACTAGCAAATGCCAGCAAGGGTAAAGAAAACAGCATTGTGTACATTTATTAACGTACCTAATCAAGATAGTTAGTGCTGATCTGTTACTCGGAGTCAAAACTACAGGCGGTGAATACCAGAAGGGCAAACTAGACCGTCACCCGTACCAGTTTTGACCAAAAAACCTGACCGACCAGACCAAGAATGAATGTACGAACGAGTCGCCAGCAGGTGAGTCCTGCGGCCGCCGCAGGCACGCGCTCTAGGCGATGGGGAACCGAAGGGTTTTGGGAAGCTCGGGCCTTCTGTGCTTCGTCCTCGGGCAGTCCAGCCAGGCAGCAACCTTTGCACACTGCGAGCTCTCATTTTTGAGAGACACCAGGAGATAGGCTGCCGAGAGCCCAGGAAGCCGGCGGAAGGAACGCCAGGGAGTCCAATAACGCAGTTTCATTTTATTCAAGAATTGTAAAATCTTAACCGCACCAGCAATAACAAAAATACAAACCAGGAGAGTGTCAGATCAGCTCAGCTTCCTTCTAGCAAGGGTAACAGCTGAGCGGGTGATCAAGAAGTTGTACATGTCACAGTCTGACGTAAGCAAGACAGGGGAATAGCCTCGGATAGAAAAGTTGGAAAATAAGTAGCTGCAAGCAGCGTACACAATACACTCTCCTGCTTGAAAAACAGAATTACCGAAGGATGAGGCTCTAGTCAATATTTTAGTTAATTACCTGGGTGACAGAATAAAGAGATTCCTAGTGCATTTTTGACAACACAAAAGAGGCAGTACTGGGGAGCTCAGGACTGGAATTCAAAATGATTTTGAGAACTTTGAGAACTAGTAAGAAAGACGGGGGTCAAATTCAGTATGGCAAAGGGGAGCTGCTTGCCTGGCTTGCAGTAGTCTACAGAGAATGGTAAATGGGAGACAAGATAACAGCGGGTCACAAACAGAATGTGGCAGGTAGAGAGACAAGCAGTCGTCATCCGGAACACACAGCAATGAGCAACTTACGTGCCCTCATCCTCCCGCTGAGCGTCAGTAAGGGCTTGGCTAAAACCGAGTTTCATGCTTCAAGAAGATGGACAAAGAAAACAGCACAGAAACAATCAGATGTTTAGAAAACATGACTTGGTATGAAAAACTCAATGAATTTGATTCGGTTGGCAGGAAGAATACTGGAGATTTTCTTTTGTTGGAATTCCACACACCCCCCCCAGGAAAGTGCCAGATTTCCCGTGGAGCCTGTAAAAATTTCTACTATTGGAGACACTTCGGAACAGATTAGTCAAACATCTCCACTAGCAGTAGCTAAAATAGTTTATCGTGCCTTGGGGTGAAAAACACACTAGAGAATGCCCAAGTACTTTTCAGATTTATCTTTATATGAACACATACCCACATTTCCAGCAATTAGCTGGCATTTCAAGACATCTAGATTCCAGTATGTCATTTAATTGCAGAGTCTGAGATATTTCTAAAAGACCTTGAAGATGCTGTAGCAATAGACTATTTCTTTACCCTGCACACCAAAACGCTACCCACTTCTAATAAGAGAGTCTGTGAAGGTTGCAGTAGGAGAACATTTTTCATCTGCATTTCTCCCTTCTGCTACAGCAGGCTGAATATAATAAGTTTGTTTTATTTTGCAGCGTAGTTACTTGTTCCGGCACACAATAGTATGTGAACCAGCCGCAACTTGCGTTGGTTGGACAGGTCAGGGAAGGAGGGGGAAAAGGAGTGGAAGGCTGTAGCCAGTCCTCTCATGATATTTTTGAGATACATATTTGGCTTTTTTAGTAATACTTCTTTTCCTTTGAGACCCTCTTGATGCAAAATACTTTTTGCATCACTAGTTCCGTTTTGGATTTCTTAGGATACGTCGCACTGAAACTATTAGCAAGTGGCACATGATCATCCTACCTTGTACACT